GGGGGGCTAGGGAAGGGTAAGTGGAAGGAGGTGAGGGAGGAATGGGGTACGAGCCCCCGATGGGGAGGACTGGGCTGGCTCTGCGGGCTTCTGGGGGTGGAACCTCTACTGCAGCCCCCCAATTGCTCCCTCTCCCCAGACGGCAGCCTGCGACAAGTGCAGCCAGTCTGATGGCCGAGTGCTGTGATGTGCCCAGTGTGGGTATTCCGGGCAATCCAAGCTAGGACTGCTTTGCAAGCGGGACACCCCTGAGAACTGTCTGTCCGGGGTGGGGGTCGGGGGCCATCCTTAACCCCGGTTCAGGGTCCACTTAATGTGGACATGCTAGTTCGAATTAGCAAAACGCTAATTCGAACTAGTTTTTTAGTCTGGATGCATTAGTTCAAATTAGCTTAGTTCGAATTAACTAATTCGAACTAAGTTAGTTTGAATTAGCATTGTAGTGTAGATGTACCCTGAGTCCCTCAGGAACCTGTACTGGCATGCCAGCATATTCATGAATGATATGGAAAAAAAGGGTAAAAAGTGAGGTGGAAGAAAAAGGTTACTGAAAAGAGTTACAAAGGGATCTCACTAAACTGGGTGACTATGAAATTCAGGGCTGGTAAATGCAAAGTAATGTATGTTGGAAAATGATCCCAACTATAAGTACTAAATTAGCCATTACCACTCAAGAAAAAGATCTTGGAGCCACTGAGGATAGTTATCCATGCTCTGCCCATATCTTGACTACTGGTCAGAAAGGGGCAACAAAAATAATTAGGGGTGTGGAAAAGCTACCATATGAAGAGAAACTATTCAGCTCAGAAGAGAGATGACTTGGGAGCATGGGTAGGATCAAGTTCTATAAAATCAGGAATGGCATGGAGAAAGTGAATAAGGAAGTGTTATTTATTACTTCACTTAACACAAGAACAAGGGGTCAGCCAATGAAATCAACAGACAGCAGGTTTAACACAAACATAAGGAAGTACTTCTTCACACAGTGCATACTCAACCTGAAGACACTGAGGAGAAGAATGTCTATGAGGTACAACTAGATCACAGTTTGATATGGTATAGCTGAATGGAATCAGAGAGAAAACTGATTTATGTTTGAGTGAGACAAATGAAGCATTGCACATCTAGGGTACCTTCCCTCTAGCTAGCATGACTATTATCTATTTACTTTTATATTGGTTACTTTCTTTTGATTTCGTCTTCCATTATAACCCCTCTCTCTCTCTCTCGTTCTCTCTTTCTTTTCAAGGCTCTACAACAGCAAATAAGCTGTCAATCAGCTGTGAATAAATCTAGACAGCCCCTCTTCCCTGGCGTAGATGTCAGTTCACTCTGCTGGATGTCATTAGAGTTGGACATCTTTGATGTATGACCAGAGGGAGGGAGGTTTAACTGGAACTGTGAGCTAAAGCCCTTGTTCTGTACTGCTGGTGCGATGGAACCGCTGGCTCTGAATCATCTGGCAGATACAGTTCACATATTACTGATGCACAAAGCCCAATCACATAGGAAAATGAATAAATAGTTGTGACTACTGTCATCTCACAATATAAATGTTAGTTTAACAAGTTCATTAATTTCTTATCCTCAAAAATACAGTAGATCAGTACATGGGCTAAATGTTCAGTCTAGTGATTGAAGTAGTAAAGGTCATAATCCCAGGCATCACTAAGGAAAGTTGAGCAGCTGGCTCCTTCTGCAGGGTGTTGAGAATTTCTGGTACATAACAATCTTGCTTCCAGTTCATTTGAATAAGAACACTCCATATTATTGCTCCATGTCTGTTAAACTGTTCTAGGTGGGGAGAATGGCAGGATGCACCAGCTGACCTCTCATTATAAGTTCCTTTATCACTATTGCATTTTACAATGTTCTCTTTCAGAGGTAAAATATGAAGAGGAACTGGCAGAATATTTGAAAATTTCCTTGGGCATAAAAAAAAAAAAAAGACACTGAGGAGAAGGATTTATGTTGGCTAAATCTCAAATTGCAATATCAACAGAATAGCTATTCAAATATTTCACCAAGGGAAGACCCTACACCCTCAATTACATGAACAGAGGCAATCTGTCTCTTCGGAGAGCAAAATTAATGAATCTGTACAATAGAGACAATTAGTTCACTCTATAATTATCACAGCTTCAGTGATGTTTCAAATTAATGTGATGCAAGATGTAGAATTAATTTGATCTAGCTCAATAACTTGAACACAGATAGTGCACAACTAAAAATAATGTACATTATAAATAATATTTTTTTCATGTCTACTTTAAAGAAGTGTTAGAAGTAACTTCAGCCAGGAAGCGATTACTTACGCTGACTTAAATATTAGAAGTATTACATCAAATTGTTAAAAGTTCGGAGATTTACAAAAATTTGCAACACAAAGATAGAGTTTCTCGTTAAAAAAATAATGCCACTCTTCCCATTTACCCACACTACTCGTAAGTGATAAACAAAATTCAGCCACAATTTTTGTAGACCAGTTACCACTGTCCAACATTTCTGGTCCTGATCCTGCAGTTGATCTGCACCCTTTTGGAGTTCTTCTGAAGTCTCTAAAGGGTGCAACCTCAAGGAATCTAAATTCAATAAAGCCCTAGGGTTTTTTTTCCTTACATGAGAACCACCAAGAAGTCTTTGACAATTACTGACTTTTAATTTCTGTGCTTACCTTTAAAATCAAACTGGTAGATGTTTTTCAAGGATTCATGAAGGAAGTAAAAACTTCCTAGAGCCTGTAAAAAAACAAAAAAATAGTAATAAGAATAGCCTGCTTTTAGTTAAAGACAAAATTATGCTATATTTTTTAAATTTGAAATACTGTAAGAAATAAAATATCAATAATTAAAAAGACATCTTATGTTGACCTAATATCAGCATCTACACTACAGCTTACTCTCATGAATATTAAGTGCCCTATTCCATTGGTTCCCAACCTTTTGATACCAGGGACAAGCAAACCTATTCACAAACTTTTATTTGCATAACTGCATATTCACTTTGCAAATAACAAATATGCAAATATAATGTTGCTGGTCCACCAAAAGCCCCAGCCCCTAGAGCCCCCAGTGCCAGCCCTAACCTCTAGAGCTCTCCACCCCTGCACTACCCCCCAGCACCAGCCACTGACCCCAGAGACCCCTGCACCCAATCCTCCCCAGTGCCAGCGTCCCACCCTCAGAGCCCCCCCAGTGCCAGCCCCCATCCCCAAATGCCTCAGTGCCAGTCCTCCGCCTCTTAGAGTCTCCCACCACCAGACCCTCCAGTGCCAGCCTCCTGTTTCCAGAGCCCCACTGCACCTAACCCTCCTGAGCTCTACCCAGTGCTAGCCCCCAATATTAGCTCCACCTCCAAAGCCCCCCAGCACTTGCGCCACTCTCTTCACCTAGACCTGGATTGCTTCTCAGCCCCCAGCTGAGTGCTGCTGCCTGCGTTGCAGCAGCTCTGGTAGCCAGGGCTGGGGAACACCTCCCAGTACCTCCCCTGCTGCAACAGCTGTTGGGAGAGGTGTGTCCTGTCCCACTTTTCAGCCAACCAGTGACAGGCAGAGGCAGGGTCTCCTTCCAGCCACGGAAAAACAATTTCCTGCCACCTGACAAACCTCGCTGTGGGCGCTCTGCTAATCAGCTGGGCAGCACTGGAATCTCTCCTGAGCAGCCACACAAGTGTGCAGTGTATTGGGAACAATGCCCTGGACCTCCACATGCACCCACTTTTCCTTTTGGAGTGTGCTCCCGCCACCTGCAACAAAACTCCCTCCCAAAGCCTGCACCTTGAACCCTAATCCCCAAACTCCCTCCCAGAGACTTAAGCCTGCATCTCCCTCTTGTACTCCGATCTCCAGACTCCTACCTGCACCCAATACCCACAGAGCTCCACCCTCACCCCCTCCTGCATCCTAGCTCCCTCCCAGCGCTTGACCCCTTCTTTCCCCCCCAATCCTGTATTCCAGTCTAGAGCCTACAGTCAGCACCCAAACTCCTCTCTAGAGCCCATGCCCCTCCCTCACTCAAACTCCCTCTCAGAGCCTTAAGCAGGTGGATGGGGGGAGAATTTGAATGTAGGAGGGGTGCGGGCTCTGGGCACTTCAAATTTTTGCAAATCTGCCACCTTGGACATGCGCCACCACAGTAATTAGTCCACTGGCTGTGAGTTCACCTAAAATAGTTCGATCTACATTTCTAATGAAGTTGTACCATAAATTTGCTAAGGACACATACCGTATGCTTAATATATTTTAACAATATTAAACAGGTTTAATTAGTGACTTTAAAAAACAACTTTAAAAGTACATCACACATTCAGAAATAAACAAATTAAGAGCATTTCTCTGGGCGGTGCTAACTACCTTCACATGCTATTGAAATATTCCCCATATTGTCTGCCCCATAATTCCAGGTCCACCCATGACTTCATCCGTGCAAGAATCTGCTATCTTCTGTCTCATATACAGAAGAAAGCAAATGTTTTTGGAGGCAGCATGGACTGCAGGAATGATACACAAGGGTGGGAGTGAAGAACATCTGAAACCTAATCCTAGATTAGCCATTTCTCACTGTGTAGTGCAGAGCAAATCATATTGTCGCTTTGCATCAATTTCCCATCTGTAGAACAGGAGTGTGACACGCATGCCCACTGGTGCCAGCTGGCAAAGGGTTCACTGTAACATCAACTTGTAACAGACCTAATAAACTCCAGCTCATCTGAAGAAGTGGGATTTTACTTGTTTTAAAGTTACAGACTAAGACAGCTAATAAACTCATTACACCTAGCACACCATGTTCATAGTAGTTATCCATAAAGAATATCACATGGGGATTTAAATGAAAGCCCATGCCTCTGGTTGTGAATGTAGTTGAAAATATATGTGCTGATATTATGTAGGAGTTATGTTTGTATGATGGCAATAGGTTCTTACAGTTTGTATCAAGATGCTAATCTCCAGCAGAGGTGAAAACTGGTTTTCTACCCGACCACAGATGTTTCTCCATCTTTTTGCTGACATGTAAAATGAGTATTGTCTCATTAACAGTCACCAGTCTGAGCAAAACGAACAAGAATAATTGTTAGATTTAACATGAAGAGAACAGCAGCGGGGGAAAGAAGCTTTAACTGGGGGTGGGCAGGCTGCATGAAAAAGGTTTATTGGGCTATAACCATGGGACAAAGAAAACAGCTTGTTATTCTGAACTTAAGAAGAAAATGGAGAGTGAACTTACATTAATGAAAACTGGGACTCAACTAGCTTTCACTGGAAGCATTACAAAAGGTTTGGGGTGAGATAAGACTGCTCTAGACAGGAGGTTAGCCTGCTAAATTTAGTCTCTAGAAAATATGGACTGATTTTGTTTTATATGTAACTATTTTGTTTTCATTATCCTATTCTACTATGTCTTGAATGATGATCTGTGTTAAATACACATACACATCTTTTACTCTACATATATCTGGGTGCTGTAGTATTGTACAAGGAGCTAATCCTCTCGAGTTGTATCATTCACGCTGGTGAGTACACTTTTCCCTCCGGGACAACATACCTGATGGTATGGTGAGTAACCAGGGGATGAGGGGTTGAATACTACAAATCCTCAGTGGAAAATAAAGATCAGCATAGCCCAGAGGAGACTGTTTTGGTGGCTAATAGACTGGAGGTGTCAAGGAGTGGGCACCCAGTTAAGCACAAGCCTCTTGATGGAGACAGAGGGGGTAACTCCCAGTTCCGGGCACCCCGAAAACTCTCATGGAGTAATATTTATATGTCTCACAGTAGTGTTGTTAAGTTTAGTTTGTGCTTATCCAACTATTTTCTATTATTGAATGTTTCAGTAATATAACCATCATTGTATTCAGGTGCTTGTATGGTATTCTGTGCTAACACTTATAATGACATTGTCATTTGCATAAAGATCTGATTGAATTAATATTTTAAAATATATATAGATTCCTAAAACAATACCATTATGACAGGTGCTTCTAGGGGCCACTAATGACATCAATTGTCTGAGAATATTACTAATGATAGTATCACCCATAATATAATTCAGCTTCCCATAAGTCTTCATTTGCCAGGGCACTATAATGTGAAATCACTGAAAGCCAACTTCTCAGTTAGCAAATCTGGATACCTTCTGCTACTTTCAAACTAATAAAATTTGTCTGCTACATTCCCAGGAACATGCCAGGCATTATACACAAGCAATATCAGTCCCAAATATCTGAGACTTCGTGTAACTGGAGCAAATCTTGGTCTTTTTAGAAGCTTAGGGTGCAAGAAGGGTATAAACTGATTTGGCTTCTGCAAAATTCAGCTAATCCACTGCTGGAATTAACTTCGGGATTTTGTTTCAAAATAGAAAGTTTGCCCAGGAAATGAAATCTGTTGGTTGTGAAAAGCTTATTTTCATCATGCAAGAAGTCTCCTAGCTATTTAAAGAGATTTGATGTATGAGGTACCAGTAAAACGAGGATGAATAACTCATGCAAAACACTGGGGGAAGGAAAGTTAATTCTCTAGATTAGGTTTGCTTTACCATACTCAAAATTCTGTGTTTCTAATCCTGGTCTAGTTTTATAATCTATCCTCTTTCATTAAGAGTGTTTTGTTTTTCATTACCATTATATACATAATTATTGTGCCAGAATATTTTCTCTAGGGCTGCAATTTTCAGTGGAAACTCAGAAAGTTAAATGTCAAAATTATTTTGAAATTCACTGGGAGCTGAACGCCTACCTTCGTTTAGTTCTTTTGAAAAAAAATCACAGCCTAAATCAACTACTGACCATGTTCTGATGTTCATAATAAATAGTCCATGCTTCAGCCTAATAACATAAACATACCAGTGTACCCATTTCTTTTCAGCAAAGCAAAACAACACACATAAGGACATGATAAAATCCATTCCTATCCTGCAAGGCACTTAGGCCATGGATTAAGTAAAGCATCCTTATTTACAACAGCACTTACAAATGTGTTTCAGTTTAAGCAGGTTTATAAGTGTGTGGTGTCTCAAGTAACAAAAGCACAATTGTGCTTAATTATGGTACTTAATTGCATGCTTAAGTGCTGACCTGAATAGAGATTGGGACAAAAGATCTGGGTCCGAGTCCCTAATTTATAAAGGAAAACTGAAATGACAGTTAAAGGTAAGGGGGTTCCCAAGATGCCTGACCAGAATAAACCAAGCCTAGACAGTCTAAAAGGAAGAATTTGAACTCAGGCATTAAGATTTTGGTGACTAGTTATTAATCATTGTTAATGAGGCTGTGTATTCTCAATGGTTTGTTAAACCAAGCCTAGACAGTATAAAAGGAAGAATTTGAACTCAGGTGACTAGTTATTAATCATCGTTAATGAGGCTGTGTATTCTCAATGGTCCATCTTCTAGTGAAAACAGTAAATATATGCATACAGTTGCATATTTATAGGTACAGCCCTGCAAATCCACAGATATCTGTTTTTATATCTGTGGGTTATTCACATACATGGATATGGATACAAACTTGGTATCTAGAACCCTGCAAGTTTGCAGTAATCTGTTTATATCTGTGGGTATCTGCATCCATATACATGGATGTAGATATCCATGGATCATTTTTGCTGATACAGATGCAGATATAAATGTTGTATCCACGCAGGGCTCTATCAATAGGTGGCACAGGCTGCCAAAGGTTCCCATTGCTTTCTGTTAAAAGAACATAGATGTTCCCCATTTTCTGAGGCCCCAACTTTAGCTTT